TTGTATCATTCATGAACACTGATTAAAAGTTGTGTAACTTCTTGAATGAGTTACTAGTTTATTTCTTTTTAAAATGTTTTTCCATACAATATCTTCCACTCCTCACCAAGTTTTTGATTGGATAGATCTATGTTAACAGATAGGTCAGGAAAGTCTACGACAGAAGTAGAAATATTTGAGGGAAAGTTGATGATCGTTCTTTTCCTCTGCTGGCTTCCGTGAAAATGTGCGCTGAAGCATTTTGCATTGCTGTCACTTCAGGAATATACTGAGAAGTCGGGTCATTTCTTCTTTTCCATCATTAGTATCTGGATTGGGTGATGGTGTCAATTCTCCAAGAAAAGCATGTTGCTTTTTTTTTCAGAGGCAACTGACCCTCACATAGAGAAACTTAACCTATTGCAGAATCGACCAGTTCTTCAATGTTCTGTTCCAAGGCATGATCATTCATGCTGGTTTGGCAAAGATTTAGTTTAATATGTTCTTTAGGCTGTAGCACATCTTCAAAAAGTGATCTCTTTTCCTTCAATTCATATTGATGTCAGGCTGGAAAGTTCTCACTTTGTTGATGTGGGGTTTTGGATCCACAAGTTACTGTAATATTAGAATGCTTAGGATTTCAGACAAGATGTCTGTCTCATCTGGTCAAATATTCTATTGTGGTTTCAGTAGTCAACATGCTCTGTTGAATATTCTGCAATAAATGGAACTTTTGCTGTATAACATTTCTTGAACAATTTTCTAGTCACTTTATCCAGCTTTATTTAACTACTTGTTTGAGAATTAATTTCTCTTTTGGTTGAAAAAGTTTAAAAACTGATTTATGAAAGAGACCACCAGGAATTCATTTGCAAATGCACTCATGTTTTTATTCAGATAGTACATAGAGGTAAATAAGGAAACTATCTGTAGATACTCTTGGGAGTTGGTTTCTACTCTTGAAACGTGATCTCACCAGTGTCCTCCTTGTTCTGGAAGTGAAATATTGATTAAAAGCTGTTAAGAAGTTGTCAATTGTAATTTGTTTCTCATTGATCTGTTGTCTATGTAACACATGATCTGATGTTCTATGTAGAAGAGATTTGTGCCAATCCGTTCTGCACTTGATTTGGTATCCAACCTAGAGCTGTTTAAAATCTTAAGATTTGTGCTTTCCTCATTTGCCAATTTGCTGATCTATCAAATGGTGAAATGATCAGTACACATGGATTTTCTTGCATCGGTTGATTGTTGTTAGGCACTTGAAGTTGTTGGTTGTTTTCTTGATCTAGATTGTCATTATTAGGATTTTGATCCCCTTGTACTTCACTAACTGTGTTGTCTTGTTGTGTTCTTATTTGATTAAATTTGTTGAATTTTTGGTTTTTTTTTAAGATTGTTTTGTGATAATAAAACTGCAAGTTGTTAAATGTTCTGCTGTTTTCAATGTTAAAGTTTAATTTTCCTTTACTAACTTGGTGTTGTCATACAAATAAATGAAGATATTCCTTTTCCAAAATGGCTGAATTATTTCTTAAAAAAAAACCTGTCGGTACAGATTTCTCAAAATGATGTCAGTCAGTAAGATATGATGATTTTTTTGACTATATCAAAGGCGACTGCACCAATGTTGTTTGTACTAACTTTTTCTGCTTCTGTGGTAGTTTTGAATTTGAAACCATGTGATCAGATTAATGCTCTTTGTCTTTATTTCTGGCTTTTTTTTTCACAATTAGAACTTGTTTTTCTTGTTCAAACTGTTAAAAACTTTACTGTTAGGTCTGTGAAACTTTAAATGGCAATGAACAATTTTTATTCTTGACTTTTTCAGTGGTTTTAGTTTGTTTATGTCTGCAATTTTTTGAAACTTGCTTGTTGATTTTGACACTGAACAAATCATTTAGAAATCGGTAATCACTGTTAGAAGTCAGAATTGACTTTTCTTTTAATAAATTTTCTTTTCTTTCCTCCAAGATACTGAATGTGTTTTGGGTCTCCAGTAATTAGCGCTTTCACGGGTGCTTGATCCAGATTTATCCCCTTGGCTGCTGGTGGGCTTTTAGTGCTCTCACTGCTTTCCCCCACCTGTACTATTAGTTGTAAAAACCTTTTATTCAGAACCACAGTTGTTTTGGTTTCACTGCAGGAGCTTTCAGATTGAGAGATTTTTGTTCCTTCACAGCAGTTGTTCAGCTCTGCAGATTTTCTGCCAGTCTTAAAGCTGTACAAACATTTTATTTGGAGAAGTGATTTTGTTTTTTTAGTTCCTTCCTTTTCCAAACAATTACAGATCTGTTTTTTGATCTTCCCTGTTGCCACAACTGTCTGAGCAGGGTATCCCAGTTTATGCCCAAATCCATGAGTTGGATTCAAGCCAAACAGGTACGGGAGCAGTTGAGGTCAAGGAATGTCTTCAGGTTTAGGCTTCTTTATAACACTGTCCTATTACATATTAAGATCTGAAATCACATGACACCAGGTTATAGTCCAGCAGGTTTATTTGAAAACTCAAGCCTTCAGAGCCTCGCTTCTTCTTCGGGTCCTCCAAAAGCTTGTGTTTTCAAATAAACCTGTTGGACTATAACCTGGTGTTGTGTGGTTTCTGATCTTATCCACCCCAGTCCAACACCGGCACCTCCACATCATGGTTACCTATTAAGACTTAATTAGTACAAGACATGATATTCAAAGATATACCAGGTTCTAATCTTACTGATACTTTATTGAAAAGACCTGTTGTATAAACTCCTACCACTTGTCTGCACGTGTTTCTAAACTTCAGGCCTCTGTCGAGTGTTCTATATGTTTCTCCCATTCCCATAACTTAGAAAGCAGATCCAACATAGTCGTTTACTTTAAACAATGCGAGTAATAAGATGGCAGCTATCATACGAAGGAGTAATAAATCAAGAGTTTTTGTTATGTTTTAGCTTGTCATAGATTATAGCATCGCTACAGTGTGGAAGCAGGCTATTTGACTCATCGGGTCCTCTCTGAATCTCTGAAGACCATTCCACCCTTATCCACTCCTCCCACCCTATCTCTGTATTTCCCACGGCCAGTCCTCCTAAACACTAGGTAAATTAGCATGGCCAATCCACTGAACCTGCATATCTTTGGACTATGGGAGTAAACCAGAGCATCCAGAGGAAACCCACGCAGACATGGAGAGACCATGCAAACTCCACACAGACAGTCATCCGAGAGTAGGCAATCAAGTGACAGGGTAGTATTATCAAATTAAGCTTTTGTAACAAGCTCAATTTTATAAACCTGCTCAGATTTATAAATATGTCATATTCCCTTGTGTATTCTGGAAGGGTAATTGAGTGGCATTGTCATTTTAACTATGTCACTACGTGCTACACTGGTATTAGTTGGAGGCTCTAAACGTATTGTCCCCCACTGGGAGACCATAGCACTGTTGTCTGAACAGTTTAAGATAGGAATACTTTGATCAGCAGATGTGCTGGCATGTGTGATTGGTGCAATTCTTTGAGCGCTGTCCACATTATCTTCACCCTTGTCCAGGTAAAAATCAATGTCCAGAGTAAAGGACATCAATGGAACTGAAGCAGTTTGGTTGCTAGACACCAGAGATGATTATAACAGGGGTGGCACTGGAAAAATAGGTGCTGTGTTCATCCAGCTCTACACCTTGTTATCTCAGATTCTTCAGCATCTGCAGTTCCTGCTATCTCTGAAACAATTTTAACCCCACTGCGAAGCCTCTTCTAAGGATGCCCATTTCTGAAGAAGGGTCTAGGCCCAAAACGTCAGCTTTCCTGCTCCTCTGATGCTGCTTGGCCTGCTGTGTTCATCCAGCTCTACACCTTGTTATCTCACCTATTTAGGAAAGTCAAGGTTTAACCACCCAAGCACCAGCATATCATCAGATTAATAAATTAGATGACAGACCTCCATACTTCAGGTTTTCTAGCAACTCTAACAAGCTGGAGTGTCACTGATACACTGGTGTCCATTTTTTAAGTTTAGTAAAAATCCAAGCACTTGGATTTCAAGTGTTGGCTGGATTTTTAAATAGATTTTCAAAAGTCACAATTGGGACACATTGAAGAGTGACAGAAAGGCAGGTTCCATGATTAGTGACATATTGGTTGACCAGTGCCATGAGTCTGCAAGGACAGTTGATGTGGGAGGTCATGTTGTGATGTCTCCAGGAGTATACCCAACAAGCGTTGATACCTCTGTCTTGTAGGACTCTTAAAATAAGAGCTCAGTAATGAAGCCTGTGAGCACAAAAAGCTGTTAACAATTCCCAAAGATCAAGCTAGTTGTGGTGCATGTAAAGGTCTCAGGTTTTGCAATGTAATGTGTGAGGTGCAAGGTTGAATTTCAGTACATATTTTCATCCCAGCCCCAGTTTACAAATTTGACAAAAAGGGTAAATGTGAAAAGTGGGGCATTTGAACTAGTTACAAGGAGTTTTCTGGAATATTCCAACATTTGGTGATCTTGTACGCAAGGGTGGCAGCTCTTCTGGTAGTGTCCCTAGCTCTGGGACAAGAGACTTGGATTCAAGTGCTACCTGTCCTAATTTTGTATACCATCACTTTTGAATAGGTTGACTAAAATACCTATAGGATGAATAATGGGGTCTTTCGAGATAAATGCCAATAAGCCACTATTTATAAAGTTCTATTATAGATACTGGTCTTAAACGTCACATGTAATAGTAAATGTAATATTGCCACTCTATTACTGATTACTGTCCAATTTTATTTCCCTTTTGCTTTTTTTTTGTTTGGCCAAAATGAAATCGATGATATTCCCCTTTAAGCAGATAGTCGGCTACTTCCTTGCCCGCATCTCCAGCTCGTCGGATTAAAAAAGCTGCACCGACAAAAGTCTTGGCCCGTGCGTTTCCGCTGCTGGTTCTTTTCCGGCTCGGAGAGTTGGCGGCGGGTTTCCCGGAGCCGCCGTGAGAAGTCGGCGAGTTAATTTCGATCAGGCGGCGTCGGGGCACCAGACAACCGGGGTCCTGGGACTGAGGACCGGGTCCGCGTGTCCCCAAAAATAACACGGAAAAAGAGAGAGAGAGAGAGGGAAGGAGAAAGGGAGAGAGGGGAAAAGATAGGGAAACAAAAGAAAAGGTGGGGAGAGAAAGGCATAGAGAGAGAGTAATACATAAGAGAGGAAAAGTGGGTAGATAGAGAGGGACATAGAGAGAGTGGGACGGGGAGGCTGAAAGGTCCTGGATCAGGCAGACACTCCAGCAGTGCTTGAACTCCTCACTGATCTTGAAAGCCCCGCATGATTCACACCCTCTGAACAAAATGAAAGTAGTTGCTTTGATCAGGTAAATTAACATCTCTAAAACAGAAATGGCTCTTCATCAGAACCAGGTTGCTGTTGTGTCATGTTCCTGTTTTGTGGAATTACCTATCTACATAATCAACCATTGCCAGATCTGGCTGGATCACGTCAAGCACTGTTGGGCTCAACCGGCCTGTGTCAAAATCATTCACTATTCCAAAATTTAGCCCTGGAGTGCAGTCCTTTTCCTCCATTGTCCCAGTTGTTCTCTTTAACAAGTGTAAATGAGCTAATGAGCTTCTTGCTAAGGAGCTTGTACTGCTTAAACAAAGCAGGTGTCTTTTTCTAGCTTCTCTGGTCTTCCCTCACGGCCTTGTGAAGCTCATTTTGCCCATGACAGCCACCTCTCTTCTGATCCCAATCCCATGAAACCTGCCGTTCACTCAGCTTCTGCTCTTAGCCTTCATGTGAGCCAATTATTGCAATCAGAATACTCTTCTCAAGCAGTGTTTGCATCCTTTTCAGAACCACTGTCATCACATCATGATCATCATCACATCTCAACCCACTTTCAGTTGTTGTGAAGCACCATTCCATTTATAACTTGTTTTTCCTCATCTTCTTGAAGATGTTTCTTCCTTTCCAGCCCCTGTCCACCTGTCCCATAGCTCCATGCTGAGTATCCAATAAAGTTTCTTCCTTTGGCACTGTACTGATGCACCCCAATTAAAGTTAAAAATGGCATCCTCTGTAGTCGATTATTACTTCTCATCTGTCTTGTTGACACTTCCCATGTACTTGACTGTAATTTCTGCTTCCAACTCCTTGCTGTCCAATTCATTGGAATTATCTTCTTGCGGTTCCACTTTTACTAATCCAGTTACAATCAGACCATTACTAGTGATGAGTTCTGTTCCTAGATTGGTACCACAACCTCAAGAGTCCATCAAGAACCTTTACTTGACTTATCCACTTCTTCATATACCTGGGTGACTTCATAGCAGACATTGAATCAGTTTCTACATGTGTTCAAATAATTCCACCCCTCTAATTTCTGCATTGTTAAACTGCACACATCTGGTTGTTAATGAGGCTCAGTTTTGTCCAGTTAAACATTGACAAGATGGAAGTCTTTGGCCCATTTCATAAACTATTCCTTTGCCACTAGTTCCAACCCTTTTGCTAATCACTGCCTTGGGTTTGATTGTTTGTAGTCTTGGTATCCATTTTGATCCTTAGATGAGCTTACAAACCTGCATGCTGTTCATCTCAAAGACTGCATACTTTCACTTGTACCATAATTACAACCTGTGCTTAAGCCCATCTGTTTTTGAAACCTTCCCCAAACAATGTTGTTGAAATCTTACCCATGGCTTTAGCACTTTCAGTTGACAATTCCAACCATCTTGTTACTGTCCTGAGCATCATCCTCCATAAACCTACAATCATGAATGGCAACGCTGCCCCTCCTACTGTTTTCCTCATCAGTGCTTGTTGATGACTTTTGGTTCCCAGTCTCTCTCATGTTCAAATTTAAAACTCCAATCCTAATGTTTGACTCTGTCTGCGGTCTCCCCCTTTCTATCTCTCTGGCCCTAAAATGTTTTTAAAATTTTGTCTTCCTTCAACTGTGCCCCTTTATGCAACCTGAAGATTCCTTTACTCCACGAATGGCCAATGTTTTTTCTGTTTAAACTCTGGAGTCCCTTTTCCAAATGATTCTACATCCTTTAAGAATCTATTTCAAATCAGTCACTGTTAGTAACCCCTCTTAATACTGCCTTCTTTCACCTTGTATTGATTTTTATCACTTGACAGTTTACTAAGGGCCTTGAAATTTAAAAAAAAACATCAAAGGCACTGTATAAATGCTAATTGTAGATACTGACATTTGTATTAGTGTATAAGCATTTGACAAAGAATTAAGCTGAAGTCATGGAACTTTTTAAAAATCTGAGCTGAGGTTTGGCATAGTGGCTCAATGGGTAGCACTGCTGTCTTGCACCACCAGGGACTCAAGTTCAATTCCAGCCTTGGGTGACTGTCTGTGTGGAGATTGCACATTCTCCCTTTGTCTGCATGGGTTTCCTCCAGGTGCTCTGGTTTCTTCCCATAGTCCATAGATGTGCAAGTTAGGAGGATTGGCTAAATTGCCTATAGTGGCTAGGTATATGCCGGCTAGCTGGATTAGCCATGGGAAATGCAGGGTTATGGGGGTGGTGAAACTTGGTGGGATGCTCTTCAGAGTGGTGATGTGGACTTGTTGGGTTCAATGGCCTGTTTCCACACTGCAGGGATTCTATGAAATACTTCACTTATATATTTGAATGTGTAGGGATGATGGTAATGACGTGGCCTATGGGCTTTTCTTTACTGAAAATAAATGGATTTTAATTATCTTTTTGCAGTGGTGGAAAGGACAGCTGTTACAATATGATGCAGTGCATAGCAGCTGGACATGAAGTGGTGGCATTAGCTAATCTAAGACCTGCTCCGCACAAAGGTAAGCCTTTCCTATCAATACAAATTTCCCCTTTTCTCCCCCACATTGCCTGTAGTTTCTAGCTTGCCGTAGAAGATCAGTGTATACTACACAGACAGCAAACAGGCTGGAGTATTCAAATCCATTGCAAGGCGCTTTATAATTTCCTTCATGGATAAAGCTTAAAAATGTAGACTGCAGGTGGTGTGCATTGCTCACAAGTACAATCACTCTACTTGAAGTGGAATTATTAACACAGTGCTCTATCCCAATATTCCGAGATCCTAATGCCACATGTCCACACCATCATCTTGTACTCACAGCCTGGAACTCTGTTGTTATCACTGCTGCATTCATCGCTCTACACCCATACTTCAAATTGTTCCTAGCTGGTTTATTACTGCTGTGGTCTGTCTTATCCACAAAAAGCAGGACAAATCTGTTATGACCAATTACTACTCTGTCAGCTTCTTTCAATTAGAGGCAAAGCAGTAGGAAGACTCATAAATAGCATATCAAACAATACTTCCCCAGCCATATCGATGCTTATTATGGATTCTGCCAGCAGCACTTACCTTATCCCAGCCTTGGTCTAAACTATAACTTGCACATGTAGTATGTCTTGACTCAAGAGAAAAGTACATAAAAAGAAAAAAAATGGAAGAAATAATATTGCTAAACATCCAGTGATATCAGGATAGATAACCAAAAGTTTGAAGATTTAGTCAAATAAGTACATATTAAAATGCATTCTGGGGAGGCGAGGAGGGAGAACCTTCTGGAGCTTTGGGCCAAGGCAAGCAAAACCATGGTCTCCAATGAAATTAAAGGAACACAGAGATCTTTAAAGCTTCTAGCCCTGCAGCAGATTACTTAGCTAGGATGGGGCTGAACTTGGAGGCTTTGGAAACAAGATGAGAAATTTAAAATGATGAAATTGTCAGACTGAAAGTCACTATAGTATAGCAAGCACAGGGCCAATGAGTGAACAAGGCTCAATGAATAGGAAAGGTTTGGAGGGATCCAGGCCAGGACCAGGCAGGTGAGACTAGTTTGGTTTGGGATTATGGTCAGCATGGACTTGTTGGACCAAAGGGTTTGTTCCGTACTGTATTATTCTGTGACTCGATAAGAATCCTTGCATTTTAGAAATGGATAACTGTGTTTGGCTGTGCACAAGGTTATGCATATTGGAAGATGGACTGGTTGGAACGAAGGGTCTGTTTCCATGCTGTATGAGTCTACGTGAAGCCTGTCTGGGACAGCTACAGAATAGTTAAGCCTGGAATTAATAAAGATAAGGATGAGAGTTTCAGCTGCAGATGAGCTGATGTAGGGTGGGAGTCATAATCACTGTGATGGCACCGAACTAGGCTAATTGGCCCATCAGGTCCACGCTGGCTACCTGCAGAGTAATCCAGTTAACCGTCTCCTCCCGGTCACAATTTTATAGAGTTGGAAGTAGGCATTCTTAATGGTTTTGTAGTCTGAAGTTTAACTTGATGTCAGACGTACGTTTGTGAATAGTCTGGCTCAGATTTAGACAGTTGCTAGGTAGACTGATGGTCAGGGAATGAGTTTATCATGGAGATCCAATACATCGGTTTCATTCTTCTCAATACACTGTATTTAGTTTGAGGAAACGTTTACTTATTCAGACAAGTAGTTTTACAAATCAAAGGTGATGAAGGAATGAAGGGTGGTGGGGGGAGGCAATGGCCTAGTGGTATTATCGTTGGAGTGTTCATCCAGAGACCCAGATAACATTCTGGGGAAACAAGGTGTAGAGCTGGATGAACACAGCAGGCCAAGCAGCATCAGAGGAGCAGGAAGGCTGACGTTTCGGGCCTAGACCCTTCTTCAGAAATCAGACCTCTAACATTCTGGGGACCCAGGTTCAAATCTTGCCATGGCAGATGGTGGAATTTGAATTCAATAAATACCTGGAGTTAAGAATTAATGATGATCATGAATCCAGTGTTGATTGTCAGAAAAACCCATCTGGTTCATAATGTCCTTTAGGGAAGGAAACTGCCCATCTTTACCTGGTCTGGCCTACATGTGACTCCAGACCCACAGCAATGCAGTTGACTCTTAACTGCCCTCTGGGCAATTAGGGATGGGCAATAAATGCTGCCTAGCCAGCGACACCCTTATCCCATAAATGAATAAAGAAACAAAAAACTAAGTGCTGTCGGTGTAGATTTGAAACCAGGTAATTCCATTAAGAGGCAGCAAGCAGATGAGAAATAGAAGGGGACTGAGGATAGATCCTTCTGATTGATCAGGTGTCACAGTGTGGACATGGGATGAAGTTATAGGAAGGATATTATTAAGCTTCAGAGGGTTCAGAAAAGATTTACCAGAATGTTGCTGGGTCTGGAAGGTTTGAGTTATAAGGAAAGGCTGGAACTTTTTTTCACTGGAGTGTAGGAGGTTGAGAGGTGACAGTGAGGGGTATAAGTAGAGGTAATGGTAGTTGTTTTTTCCCAAGGATGGGGGATTTCAAGACTAGGGGGCACATTTTTAAGGTGAGAGGAGAGAGATTTAAAAGAGAGAAGAGGGGCAAATTTTTTACACAGAGCGTGGTTCGCGTGTGGAATGATCTTCCTGAGGAAGTCATGAATTTGGGTACAGTTACAACGTTTAAAAGATGTTTGGATCAGTCCATGAATAGGAAAGGTTTGGAGGGATACAGGCCAGGAGCAGGCAGGTGAGACTAGTTTAGTTTGAGATTATGGTTAGCATGGACTGGTTGGACCGAAGGGTCTGTTTCCGTGCTGTATGATTCTGTGACTCTATAAGAATTATTGCAGGTGATTCTCCAGCTGTGATTTAATAAATCAGCCAAGTCTAATTCTTTCTCAACCTGTTGAAGACAGTTTTAGCTAACTGGAAGTCAGAGGAGAAGGGTTGGAGCTGGGTGAAGTGTTCCACTGTGTAGATATGCTAAGTGGGACATGGAGTGACTGTAAACTGTAAATTATCAGAGAGACTGTAATTGTGACTTTCCAGGCCATTTCAAAAGTGTGCCGATTGCTTTGCAAGTGGTTTCTTCATCATTAACTATTATGCTCATTAACTATTATGCTCATTAACTAGCAACTTCTCCATTTCAACACCTTGAGCAATCATACAGTACTTGTCAAATGATCCGCATCCTCCTTTCAGACAGTATAACTTAGTTTCCTTTAAATTGGTATTCTTGTGAATTGCCCTGATGAATGCAAGATAAAAATTTTTAATAAAGTGTATTTTACAGCAAAACTCAAAGTCTGTATTACCAAGCAACTATAAAAATCAAATAAGAATGTCAAAGCATACTTCATCGTTCCTATCATGAAAGGGAGAATTTGAGAATAATTTTTTGGGGGGAAAATAAACATTATGTTCCATTTTTTTAATATGCTTTTTGTTATAATGTTCCATTTTTGTTTATTTACATTGAAACAATGAGATACAGAAACATCGTTGGAGCTGCTTGAGCTTGTAAGCGTTTTGAAGTGAATTATTGTCGGTAATTTTAAGCATTAGTGTGGGCTACTTTAGGTACCTCTTCTTGTTAATTCAGTTACCTTAGTCAGGAGCAGGAAGTGCTGCCTGAAAGCTTATCTGTAGTGGCCAGAAAAGCACTGTTTAAGAAAGTATAAGCATTAAAAACACAAGGAAATTAAATAGGTGGTCCAAAGCATTAGCCTCCTGTCCTCTCGCTTCAGTTTAGATGTGATAGAAGTCTCTTCCTGCTGATCATTAGTTTCTGTATTAAATTAGTTTCAGCAAACTCAAATCAGTTGACAGTGAAATACAGTAAAGAAAGCCTTGTATTTATACAACACCTCATCACATTTCAAAGCACTTTACTGAATTATAATTGAAGTGCAATAAGTTATGTAGATAAACTTGACAGTTAATTTGAGGAAATTCCATCAACAGCAATGTAATGAATGACCAGTTAATCTCTTTTGTGTGGTGTTGATTAAGGGCTATTCTTTAAATAGTAGCAAGTAGTATAAAAACTGCATTAGCTATTGTATATTTGGAACTATTCCCGAGTACTGAACTGGGAAACCACGCGAATTTATGTGCTCAAAGTTTGGAGTGGACCTTGAATTCACAATATTTTGACTCAACAGACATAGAGTCATACAGCATGGAAACAAACCCTTTGGCCCAACCAGTCCATGCTGAACATAATCCCAAACTAAACTAGTCCCACCTGCCTTCTCCTGTCCCATATCTGTCCAAATGTTTCCTATTCAAGTACTTAGCCACATGTCAGCATAGTTTAGACTCCGTTCTAAGGTTAGGGTTCAAACAGGTTGTTAATGAAACGTATAGGCACTTTATTTTATTCACTTATGCTTTTTGCACTGCATGTTTGAAGATTAAACTGGATGCAATGGTGGAAGTCTTCTCTTCCCATCCTTGCCTTAATGAGTTTCCAAGGTTAAGAATTTTTAAAAGCAGTGTATTTTATGAATTTTTTTTTAAGGAATTTGTTGGATAGTGTTCATGATGCCAAAACAATAACCGAGGCTTGGATTATTAATCCGTCAAATGTGAGTTCAAGTTCTGCTATGGCAGGTTGGGAATTTGGATGGAGTTTTTAAAAAAAAAATGACTATTAAGTTACAAACACAACCTATTTAATGTTCTTCAGGGAGGGGAATGCGCCGTTTGTCTGTGTGTCTCTTCCAACACCTAGTAAACCACACAGGTGTCTCAAACTTAGGAAGATAGTCATGATTGTTGGAGGTCAATCATCTCAGTTCCAGGACATCTCTGCAGGAGTTCCTCAGGGTAGTATCTTTGGCCCAGACATTTTCAGCTGCTTCATCAATGACCTTCCCTCCATCATAAGGTCAGAAGTGGGGATGTTCGCTGATGGTCACACAATGACCAGCACCATTTGCAACTTTTCAGATACTGAAGCAGTCCATGTTCAAATGCAGCAAGATCTGGACAACATCCCAGGCTTGGGCAGACAATCGGCAAGTAACATTCGTGCCAGGCTGTGACCA